GGCCGGCACGTAGGCGCCCGGCGGCCGGTCGGGGAGCCCCGGCACCTCGGGCGGCCGCCGCTCGGAGCCGCCCTGCGAGGAGATGGTGGAGCTGTCGGACACGATGGTCTCGGTGGACTGCGAGTGGCTCCAGTTGTCGCTGGAGGAGGAGGGCTCGCGGCTGCGCGTGCCGTGCTCCGGGAAGCGGGGCAGCGAGCGCACCGAGGCCGGGCTGGACACCAGGCTGCAGCGGCTCAGCGTCCGCACGCTGCTGCGCGTCAGCGCCACCACGTCCACCATGGGCGGCAGGATGGCGTTGGGGATGATCTTGGACATGTAGGTGCCCTGCGGCGAGATGGACATGACGGGGCTCAGCAGCTCCGGGGCGCCGGCGCTCGTCGTCATGCCCGGCACGGCCAGCGACTTGGGCCTCGCCATGGGGGACAGCTTGGCCGCCGTCTTGCGGCCCAGCAGCGAGTCGTCGTAGTAAACACGGTCGATGTGTTTCTGCAGGGCCGCGTCCGCCTCCTCCAAGGCTCCGAGGGAGACGCGGGCTCCGCCGGGGGCGGCCGGCGGCGCCAGCTTCCCGTCGATGGTGGGGATGCGGATGGCGTCGCCCGAGGAGACCTGGCCGCCGTTCAGCAAGGGCTGCGGCGCCCGGCTGTCCCCGTGTCCCTGGCCGTCCGCTCGTCCCGTGGGATCCCGGCTGCTCCTGAGACCTGGGGCAGGGAGACACGGACCCCGCTGTGATCCCAGCGCAGACGCACCCCGGCACGGCAAGCACGGCCCGGGGCACGGGATGGGAGCCTAAATCCCGCCCGGGATCCCGCCTGGCCATGCCACTCACCCAGCTCCTTCTGGACGTGCTGCGGGATGCCCAGCACTGTCGTCCTCCTCTCCTTCCTCTTCTTGCCAGCCCTCTCCGAGGATTTGGAGAAGGAGTCATGGGGCCGGAAGGTGGAACCTGCCGGGGGAAAGAGCGGCTCCAGCCGGAGGGTCTGGCCAGGGGGTCCCCCCAAGTCCCCAGCAACCCCCCGCGCTGCCGGGGACGCTCAGAGGAGCCGAGCTGGAGGCCCCCACAGCTGCCTGCCAGCTGCGCAGGGAGGGGACGGCGCCCGTCCCGGCGTCGGTGCCGCTCGCCCCGTCCCACCCAGCGCCGGCAGCAGCCTCCGACTCAGCCGCCCGCTCCCGTCTCCCCAAGAGCCCCCAGATCCCCCCGGCGGCGCGTGGCCGCCCTGGCCCCCAAGCCCCCCAGGCCTCCCCACAGACACCCTGGCCCCCCTTGGCTCCCCGCTGGCCGCTACCTTTGCGCTGGATCATCTCGGAGCGGATGGAGAGGGCGTCCTCGGAGGTGCTGTCCGTGGCGCAGGAGGCCGCGCGGCTCCGGAAGGAGCCTCCGTCATCCTCCGAGGAGGCGCAGGACTGGGGGGGAGGCCACGGGGGGGGTCAGGCGGCCGGGAAGGAGCCCCCGCCCGGCCCCTTCTCCACCGCGAACTGACTGCGCAGCCGAGACAAAGGCTGCTCCGAGGGCCAAGGGCTGAGTCAGCCAGGCCGGCATCCAGAGTCCTCCCACCCGGAGCGGGGCCGGAGCAGCCCCAGGGACCCCGCGGGCCCCTAACCGCCCCACGGCTCCTGGGGGGCTGCTGTGGGGTGGGCAGCGGGGCTGGGGGGAGCAGGGCCGGGGAGGGAGCCCGGACACCCCTGGCCGTCCGTGTCGCTCCGGTCAGGAGCACTGCGTGTTCCCGCTGCCGCCCCCGCGCATCCCGGCCCCGGGAATGGTGGTGGTCACTGGAGCCAGGATGAGCCCTGGTGCGGCCTCGTCTCCAGCGCCCCCAGGATAATCCCCACCCGCCTCCACAGGGCTCTGTGCCTCCTTTGGAGGCACAGGGATAGGCCCTGCTCCACGCCTGCCCCGCTTCCCGGCAGGCTTTTGTGCCCCCCACCCTCAGCCTGGGGATTTTACGGCATCTCCCAGCCCAGATGGAGACGGGAATCAGACTCATCCATGTGAATCACTTCCCTGGGCCTCCCGCACGGAGCTCGGCGCCTCGGCCCTGCTCCGGGAGCCGCTTCCAAAGGGCCCCGGAGGCAGCGGGAGGCAGCGGCTCAAAGCAAACAGAGCCAGGCAGGCACTGGGCGCAGGGTCAGTGCCCCGGGAGCAGCAAATCCACACAAATCCACCCAAATCCACCCAAATCCACCCGGCCCTCGGCAGCCGGAGCGGGGTCCGCGCGGGGCCGGACGTGGGCGAGGGTCCGGACCCGGCTCCGCACGCGGGTCCCAAGCTCCGGTGCTGCCCCCACATCCCTGCCGGGGTGTTCTCCCTGTCCTGTCTGGGGTTCTCCCTCGGAGCCGGCTCCGTGGCCAGCACCGAGGGGACAATGAGGAGCCACCGCGGGTATCCCACCCCCCTGGCAGCCCCAGGGGACCGGGGACACCCGCTCCGAGCGCGGCCTGGGTCCCAGCCGGCACAGGGACCGCGCTCACCTGGAGGCTGTTGGTGTCTCCGTGGTCCCAGGCACTTTTGGTCTGTTTCTGCTTTTCTGGAGAGAAGAGAAAAGGGGGATAAAGAGAGAAAAGGGGGATAAATCCCTCTGGAGGGGCTGGGGGAGCCCAAAAGGCAGGAGGCAGCCTGGGGAGGCCAAGAGGAGGAGGAGGCAGCAGCCACCGAGCGAAACGGCCACCGACCTCTGCCAAGGCCACGGGCTCCGGCCACCGGACTCCGGCCGGCGCCGCCCCCGCGCCCGGAGCATCCCGGGAAGCGCGCGGGGCCGGGACACCTACCCTGGTGCTGCAGGGACTTGCGGCCGGCCTGCGCCTCGTGGTGCAGCTCCTGCAGGTGCGGCGGCCGCGCGCCGGGGAAGAAGACGTTGTCGGCGCATTCGGCGGCGTTCGGCGCGCTCGGCGGCCGCTCCCGCTCCGCTTTGGCGGCGCCTGAGGGGGAGAAAGAGGGTCTAGCCCGGATCTAGGGCTTTCCAGGCCAGTCCATAGGCTGGAGCTGGGCGGATTCGTGATGCTGGAAGGATGGTCGTGCTCTCCAGGTGCTTCCCTAGCGCTGCCGGGGCCACGGAGCCACACAGGGAGCCGGGATTCGCTCCCAGACCAAGGCAGGGGGGAACCAAGAGAGGCCCCCGCGCAGCCCAAACCTTTCCCGCCAGGACTGCGACATCCTGGGAAACAATCGACTTCCCGCTGGAGAGGGGCAGGGAAGGACAACAGGGCACGTCCGAGGAGAGCAAGGCCGGTGGAGGATGCCCGGTGCTGATCCCACAGCCCCGGCTCCGAGCGCCGGGATCGCCTGGAGCGCACAATGGAGCCGGCGGAACAATGGAGTGCGGCGGGCGCCCGGCGCTGCCCTCGGCACGGCCGCTGTCCAGCCCCGCTCCCGCCATTTCGGCATCCCCTTCCCAGCCCCGCTCCCGAGCGGCGCAGGGATTCATCCCTGCACGTCCCTGCGCGCCAGGGTGACCTTTCCCTGCCGGGAGCGGGGGACACCGCGGGGTGGCGCGAGGACAAGGCGCTTCCTCCCCCTGCTCCTCATCCTCTGCAGCCCCCACTCACCCTTCCTGAAGAAAAACAGGAGCGAGGAGAGGTTCCTGCCCAGGAAAACCACCATGCCGCCCCGCGAGAGGCTCTGGTCCCGGGGGAGCGGCGGCAGCGGCACTGCCTATTGTGCCGGGATGGCGCTCGGATGCGGCGGGGCCGGCGCAGGAGCGGGAAGGATGGGAAGGCTGAGCCGGCCGCACGGTGGCTCCCACCGGGCGCCTCCTTCCCGGAGCCGCGGGAAGCGGCCGCGCTCCTGCCCTCCCACACGGATGCTCCGGGACCCCCAGTCGCCCCCCGCACAGCCGGAGGAGTCCGTGTCAATCCCGCCTTGGTCCCGGAGCGGCGCTTTCCCAGCCTCCCGCCTCTTGCTCCCAACAAATCCGTGTTCCCGACAGGAATCTCCCAGCCCTGCAAACCAATTGCTCCCCCCCACAGCAGTGCGGCCAGCTGGGAGCTTTTCCCTCCCCTGCCTTCGCTCGGAGCTTTTCCCTCCCTGCCTTCGCTCGGAGCGTGCACGGCTGCCCATCCTCATCCTCCTGCTCCGGCGCTGCTGCAGATTCATGGTGCCGGGCAGCCCAGCACCACCTGGCAGGCGCCGGCATCCGTGGCCACGCGACAGGAACGTGATAATTCGCTGCCATCTCCCGGTCCCCGTCGTAGAGCAGGGGGCCACAGGCCTCTCCCGCCCCCCCAACTCCCTCCTAGGGCTCGGAATGCCGGGGACCCCCTGGCACTAGCGGGAATGCTGGGAGACGGGAATGCCATCACTCCAAGGATGATACAGATGCCAAGGAGCGAGCCAGGAGAGCAGGATGGAGGAGCCTCCTGCTTCCCAACCGGTTCCTCGTGACCTTGGCTACCTCATCCTCAACCACTCTGCATCCACTGAACGGACTGGGAAGGAGAGGCAGCTGGAGCGGGGAAGGAGCCACCGCAGCGACCTGCCCGTGCACCCGCATCCCAGTTCATTCCTGCCCATGCACCCGGCATCCCAGTGAGTCCCTGGCCACATGCCTGGCTCCCGCCAGTTCCCAGCTCCAGCCCACGCGCGGCGGCCACATCCCGCTGCAGGAGGAAGCCGAGGCCGCCGGATGCGGGACGCCGGAGGCCGCGGCGGGAGCCGGCCCGGCGCACCAGGCGGTGCCGCCCGCTCCGGCAGCCTTGGCCGCGCTCCGCGGCTCCTGCCCGGCGATGTCCCGACTTGCCTCCCGCTGCAGGCGCGCGGGAGGCAGCAACGCCCGGACGGCTCCCGGCGCCCCCGCTGACTCACGGCGGAAAAATGGGGAGGAGGGAGAGGGGCTGCGGGGGCCGCCCGGCCGCCTCCGCAGGGATCTGCGCATTGGGTCCCACGTTTCGGCTCCTTCTCCCGGCCATTCCTGGTGCCGGCTGCGGTGCACAGCGTCACCAGCGCCGGTGTCACGCACTGGGGTGGACGTTGCTTGAGTGTGGGAGCCCCTTCCCAACGGGTGCTGCTCTTGGGATGGGATCGGCAGCAGCCGGCACGTGCATGTGGCCAGGAGCTGCAGCCTTGGGGATGAGGATGAGGAGGAGGCAGCAAAGCGGACGCAGCAAAGGCACCTGCTGCAGTGAAGGAGCCCGAGCGGTGCTGCCGGGCGGCAGCTTCCCGGAGCTGCTCCTGCAGGATCGGCGGGTGGGCTGGGATGCGATACGGCCTGGGCTCGGTGCCCGCCCGAGCCCTCCCTGCGGCGCCGACGTCTCGGGCAGGAAGGCAGCTCCACAAGGCAAATAAACACGGCCCAGCTGGAGCCACGGGCCCCAGCTCCAGCCCCACGGACAAACCCAAATTCCCTGCAAAGGTAGAAGCAACCGAGGCCTTGTTCTCTCTCACAGTGCAGCAAAAACACTGGGAGAAAGCAAAAAAGTGGGAGCAAGCAGAGCCGGAAAAGGGGGGGACACCAAAGCGGGGACACCTGTCCTTGCTGCAGGTCAAGGACACCCCGGGGCCTCCACGAGGCTTCCAACAATTCCCCTTTCCAGCAGTCCCGCTCCGGACGCCGGCTCTGCAGGGCTCGGCTCTCCCACCCCGGCCGCCCGCCCCATCCCCAGCTCCGTCTGGGAGAAGCCACCAAACAGGTTTGGAGGTAAACAGAGCCAGAGCGGGACCGGAGCCGGATCCGGGCGGGAAGGGCTCGGCTGCCAGCAGGGCAGCGGGGCGAAGGCGGCCGAGCTGAGAGCGGCAGCCGGGTCCTGGAGTCATTCCGGAGCCGCCGCTCCATTCCGGGGCCGAGCTGGAGCCGCCGCTCCGTGTCGGAGCGGAGCCGGAGCCGCCGGCACTGCCCGCGGCGCTGCGCCTGCCGCCGCGCGTGCCGGGCTCGCCGCGCGCCCGCCGGCACTGCCTGTCGCAGCAGGTTCCCGGCTCCGCACGGATGCAAAGTCTGGAAAAACGTCAGGCGAGGCTGGCACAGGCTCGCACCGCAGCCGGCGCCTAATCCAGAGCCGAGGAGAAGCGGGATGGAGGGAGGAGGCCGGTGGCCTCCAGTGCTGCCCGCTGTGCTCGGATGCCCTCCAAGGGCCGGGCTGGGATGGGAGCAGCCCTGGCAGCGGGATGCCGGTTGGCCGGCACACGGGGAAAGCGCCAGGATAAATCCCAGGGCCGGGCGGCTCCCTGCCCTTAGCTCGCCGGCTGTTTGCGGAGCCGGCCCAGCGTGGAGCCGGCACCAAGGCCGGGAGAGGGGCCGGATCCTGCCGGGATCGGCGCCGAGCCCCTGCAGCGCCCGCCCCGGTGCCTCCCGCGAGACGCCACCTCCCGCGGCTCCGGCACTGGGAGCATCCGAGCGCGCTCGGCACCTGCTTCCCGCGGGCGCCGCGGCCGGAGCGGCGTTCCGGCGCCCTGACTCAGCAGCGCCCGCGGCCGCGCCGATAAGGAGGTGATAAGAGGGCTCCCGTCTCCATGGCGCTCAAGGACTAGTGGGGACCTTCCCGGAGCTGCTCCCACAGGAGCAGCACTGCGGAGCCACAGGGGATCCAGCCCGGAGCGAGCCAGGCCGGGCGGGAAGGCGGCGGGTCAGGGAATGGGCACCGGGCATCGGGTTGCAGGCAGCGGCGATCCCAGCTGCCGGTCCAATCCTCCTCCGCAGGGATCACTCCGATCCTTCGGATGTGGAGCGATGCATCCCGCAGCAGCCGGGAGCGGCCCCACGGGCCATGGGGACGGCAGAGCCCCCAGGATGGTGGTGCCACCAGGACGCGGCGTAAGGAATGGTCGGGATGCAGCAAAGCAGTGGGGGGGACACTGGAGCAGAGGGGAAGGAACCGGGTGGGAAAGGCCCCCCAAACCCAGCCCATCTTCCCAATCCCGGGCGCAATTCCCAAGGGAGGGGGCGGGCAGGGCCTCCGCGCACCCTGCCCCCCGCCCGCCCGCGCCCTCCGAAACGCTGAGGCGACACAATGCAAATTCTTTGGCTTTGTGGCGGCCGGCCCGTTGCCATGGAGCCGCGCAGAGAACAAACACAACTCGCCCCATGTTTCCTCAGCACCTCCTGCCCCGCGGCCGCCCTTCGGCCTCCGCTCCTCGCCCCCCCGCTCCGCCCCGGCTGCCTCCCCCTGGAAAACGGCGCACGCTCCAAAGACGCTTCCCGGCGCGGGATGCTCGCGGAGCCGCGACGGCCACCGCCAACCTGCGCCAGCGGGAATCCCGGGAATTGGGATTTCCCGGCCGCGTTGTGGCCCCGTGAGCTCCGCACGCGGCGGACGGGCCGCACGCAGGGGCTCGGTGCCGGGGTCCCGTGCGCGCTGCATGAGTCCCCTCTGCTCCCGGGCTCGAGGGGACAGGTTGGGGACAGCAGGACAAAGTTGCTGCCCGAGCCGCCGCGGCACCCGCGCCGCCCCGGGATGGAGCTCGCGGGACAGACACCCCCTGGGATCCGCTGCCTCCCGCCGCGCCGGCACCGGGGCCCTTTCCTCCCGCGCCGGGGAGAGGGGCAACCCCCCATCCCGCCTCCTCGGGGATTTTCCAGCCGTCTCCGCGGAGCAGGAAAAAGCCCTGGAAGCGGCACCCTGGGGGATGCAGCACCCCGGGGGATGCAGCACCGCAAGGAGCCCGGGGGACCCCACGCAGCCCCCCGCTCCCGCTCGCCCCCGCATCCCGCTCCTACCCGCCCGGATGCCGGCGGCGCGGCGGCCGAAGAGCCAGGAGGGGCCGTGCGCGGGGCCCCGCTTGCGGTGCGCGTTGCCCATGGCGCCCGCGGCGCGGCCGGCCGCTACATGGCTGGGCCGGGGGCTCCGGCGCGCCCGGCTCCCGGCGCTCCGGCGGGCTCCGCGCTCGCAGGCCGCCAACGCCGGAGCCAATGGCACGGGCGGAGAGAGGAGGGGCCTCCCGGGAGCATCCCGCGGCGCCCTGCCCGCTCCGGCGCCCGTGCAGTGTCCGGGGGGATGCCGGCCCCGCGTTCTCTGCCCATGGGGTGCAGCGGGACTGGTGCTCACGCTGCTCCGGACATGTGTGAACTGGGATGCGCTGCAGCACCCCAAGCACCTCGGTCACCCGCTCCGTGGTCCCACTGTCCCCCTGCAGCTCCACGGGGCTTCCCTCTCATCCCAAACTCGCTCCCGGCAGCAGGAAGGCTGCAGAGCAGCCGGGCACAGCCCTGGCACAAGCCCACGGCGAGGCGCCCCGTTGGGGCACGAACCTCCAGCCCCCGCGGCCCTTTCCCTGCCGCATCCCGGCGCAGAGCCCTGTCGCCCAAAGGCGTCAAGCCGGGCGCTCATCCCGGCCGGCAGCGCCCGCTCGCCCCCGGATCACCGCGGGAAACCAAGCGCAGCGAGGGGGCGGCCGGGGAGGATCCCCCCCCCATCCCGTTGCCTTCCCCTTCCTTCCATGATTCATCGGCCGCTCGTGTAAATAGGAAGGAGCTAGTGGTAACGGCGCGGGACACCGGGGAGGGCATGGAAAAACACAGGCGGTGGCAGCTCCGTCCTGCCCTCCCTGGGGACATGCGCCCGGCCCTGGTCCCCTCCTTGGCAGGGGGTTCCAGCCCCTTGGAGACCCCCTGTCTGGGCACCCTGCAGAGAGGCCACCCCATCCCTCCCCGCAGAGTGGGGGGTCCATGATGCTGCTCCCCAAAAGCAGGGAGCAGGGAGGGTGCCGGCGCTCCCGGGACAGCAGCTCCGTTTATTTATTCATTGCAAAGGCTGCCGCAGCAGCAGGGCACCAGGGGGGCCGGGGAAGCTGATCACAAGATACAGATCTCGTCCTCGCGCGGTGCCGGCTCCCAACACATCCGATCCCGGGCGCTTCCCCGCTCCTGAGCGGCATGGACACCTCCGCGGGGAAGGAGCCGCCAGGGCTCCTGCAAACCCATCCCCACGGCAAGGAAGTAACTCAGCCCTTGCTCTCTTCGCAGGGCAGCCCGGCGAGGCCCCGGGCACAAATTCCCCGCTGGAGATCCCCAATCATTAACAGAAATGCATAACTAGGAGGCCGGGAACCATCTCCTGCCGAGCCGGCAGCACCCAGGGTGCTACCGAGCCCCCCGGGAGCCGCCGCAGCCCCCGGCTCCGCTTCTGGGAGTCCCAGGGGGTCCCGGGAGCAGCCAGGGCTCCCGCTCGGCAGCTTGGGGCCTTTCCGCTCCATCCCAGCTCTTCCCGCGGCTCCTGTTCCCACCCGCGCCGGAGCCAAAGTCAATGATGAGATTGTCTTATGAAATCAAACCTTCCTGCTTGGGAGAAATATGACTCCGGCGAAATAGTTTTATCGGCCTCTATGGAAGATGATTTGCCGGAGCAGCTCGGCGCTGGCTCCAGGTGGAATAGCTGCGGTTGCAGACACACCTCGCTTTGTTCAGCCGAGCGGCTCCGCCGGCCGCCGCATTCCTGCTGCTCACATTTTCTGAAGTGTCACTCTCTGCCTTTTTTTTACACGCTAACAAATTCACGGCCACGCTCAGGGAAATAATCCCGGGGAGCAGGGGATGCACGGCGGGACACGCATGGGAACGCCAGCGTGTCCCGGCGGCCTCCTTCGCCCCCGCAGAGCCGAGAAGCCGGCGACTAAAATACCAGCGCCGCGTTTACACCCCATATGGCAGCAGAGCACGGAGGAGATGGAGCACTCGGGGAGATCTCGCGTCTCGGTTGTTATCGGAGCAGCACGAAGGCGCTTCCCGCCTGGACACGCGCGAGCGCTGCCACGGCACCGGCACGGATGCGACAGATCCGCGGCCCCCCGAGCGGCTCGTGGTGGAGCCACGCGCTGCTCTTGGCAAGCGCTCCCCGATGTCATTACAATGCGTTTGAAGCTGTATTTTTAACATCCCGGTGACCCCAGCGCACGGGGAAGCCTGCTGCTGCTGCTGGAATACGCTGGCACGGGGGGGGGGGAAAAAAAAAGCAATCCTAATTTAAATTTTTTGGAATATCAATTCCTTTACTTCATTAAGGGATTAAGGGCAACGTTGTGAAACCTGCATAAAACATTAGCCAGAACCGGCCTCAAACCACATGCCGACACTCGGCACCGTCCGCCCTGCTGCAGCGAGGCCCGGGGACCGCAGAGCCCCCGGAGCCGGGCGGGCTGCAAGCTCCGCGGCGGGAGGACACCAAGGCTCGCTGCTTTCTCGCCCCCAACCGCAGCACCTCGCGCTGACACCAGTTTCATTGTTTTTCCCCCCAGGAAAAGCGGCCTCGCTCCGTGAAGCCGCGTGGGCTGCGTGATCGCAGCCGCCCGGCGAGGAGCTCCGACCGTCCGCGCGGCCTCGGGCCGGGAATCAGCTCTCCTTCCTCATGCCCTTCCTCCCATGGAGGGGACACGGGCGATGGGAAGCAAGGGAGAAGGGGCCGTGCCGAGGAGGGGGAACGGGCCGCTTCCCGGCGCTCTGGGCGCCCGCGGGCGGCTCCTCCCCGCGCTGCTCCCTTCTCCGCGCTGGGGACTCGTTTTCCATGGATCGGGTGCCAGCGCAGATCGGAGCGATAGCGTCTCTCGCCCCCGGGAACGGAGGCGAGGAGGGCGGCCGGGCTGGGGACATGTGACAGGGGCGGCGAGGACGGAGCGGTCGCGCGGGGACACGCAGGGACGCCCAAGTGTCACTGGGGTGGTGATTGGGGCGGCTCTGACCCCTTGCAAGAGGCAGCGAAAGCTTCACGGGGCCTTTGCTCGAGCCCGGAAACCAGGGGAGCCTCCGGGCAGGAATCGGGCTGGACTTTGTCCCGTTTCCCTGGACTTTCAGCTGGGAAAGGAGCCGTGACGGGCCGAGAGCCACTGCTGTCCCGCACAGCCCCCCCGCCGGCCCAGGGAGGGGGCCTGAGCTTTGCCCCCAGCACCGTTCCCGCTCCTTCCCCGCAACCGGCGCCGCCGGATCCAACACGGAAACGCTCCCATTGCGTGTGAAGCAGCCAGAGCCCCGACAACCAAGAGGGGGGAAGATCCCAGGGGGCCCATCCCGATCCACAGACCCCGCTCCGGCCCCAGGGAACGGGGCCTACGGCTGCCACGGCATGAAGGCGAGCGCAGCTCCCGCAACCGGAGCTTAAACTCCTGCCTTTGCCCATCCCGCAGTTTCCAGCCTCTGTGTGGACAAATTCCGGGGCTGGGCGGCTCGGGCGGCCGCCGCCTCGGGGCAGGTCGGCCGCGCGGCGCCCGCTCTTCCCAGCGCCGTCACTCTTTCCACTTCCGCGACGCGACCCGCGCCGGAGCGCACGGAGCGCGGCCGACCTCCCGGCCCCAGGCCGGCGGCCCCGCTCCCCGGGAAGGACGTGGGAAGGCAGAGCCAAGGTCACGCCACCGCCTGCACCGCAGCCCCGCTTCCCAGTTTTGCAGCCCGCTGCTTAATCCCCCCGCTGGAGCGTGCTGCTTTTGTGGCTGTGCCCGGAGGAAATTCCCGGCGCTGCGGCCGGGCGGGAGATGGTTAAGGAGGGTGCGGCCCTCGGCGCTCGCTCCGTGCGCCGATTCCACCAGGCGAGCGCTGCATGTCCCTGCTGCTCCCCAGCTCCGAGCGAGCGGCCGCCCAGGCGCGGGAGCATCCGAGGGGCCGGGGCTGCTCCGGCCGCAAGGAACCCGGGAGGCGAAGGGTCCCACGCCCCCCACCACGCACACGTCCCCCTTAGCACTGCCCACCGCAGCCCGGCACGTGACGGGGACGGCGGCGCGCGCGGCCCCTCCGCCCACGCTCCGAGCAGCGTTCCCGGCCTCCGAGGTGCCTCCGGGTTTGTGCACATGGGTGTTTCCGCGCCGCAAGGAGGACTCGCGTGCTCTGCGGCACAGCCCTGCTCTGGGCTCGGCGCGGGGCCCATCACGGTGGCGGCTGGGCATTTAGCACCGGTTTTAGCACCAGCAGAGGGGCCCAGCCCGGCAGCACCTGAGGAAGCTCCAGGGCCAAAGCAGAGGTTCTTTGCGAGCCCCTCCACCTCTCCTTCCTTATGGGATCTTGGGCATTCCTCATGCCATGAGTGTGTCCGCATGCAGGACCAGGACAGCGCCATGGGACAAGCCAGGGAGAAGGTTCCCAGCACCTGCGTCGGTGCCGCTGAACCAGCCTCTCCCTTGGCAGAGGAGCGGAGGTGACGGCTCCTTGGGACGCGTCCTGCAGGAAGGTGTCCCCAGCACTGTCAGGGTGCAACCGAGCACCCCCAGCCACTTGCAGCAACTCTAGCCCTGCCGGGACACCTACTACAGAAGACGGTCGCGGGGAGAAGACGAGCGCGAGGGGCTGTCACCCCCCAATAGGGGATCTCTGCCCACCCTAACACCAGCCCAGGCGATGAGAAGGGTCGTCTGCATCCAGCTCTGTTGCAGGAGCAGAGGCTGGACAATGCCACCCCGAGGGTCTCCCTATGGATGTGCCTGGGGGAAAAGGTCAGCACCCCAAGGAGTCGGCCCAGGGCGGGGGCCACATCTCGGGCAGGAAGGGCCACACCTGGCGCAGGGCAAACACCCTCCCGCGCAGGAGGAGGAGGAGGAGGAGGCGGCGGTGGCAGCGCTCCAGGTTTCCCTCAGCCCCAGTGACCTTCTGACTCAGCGCAGAGCAAACCTACCCAGTGAAGCAGCAACATCCCTCGGGGCAGGGACGAGATTGCACCGGGAGCTGCCGTTCCCTCCGGAGGGAACCGGATTCAGGCTGCTGCCAGGGCCACTGCTGCGCCTGCCAGGACCACCAGCACAGCCATCTCCTCCTCCAGCCCCCCATGGCCTCCACAGTTGCCACCATGACCATTGTCACCTTTTAATGCCACTACAGTTGCAGTCACTCTCAGGTGTCACTTCAGCCCCTCTGCAGCCACTTCAGGTGCCACCACAGCCACTACCTCGGGCCTCCATCATGACTAACATCAAGACCATCCGCTCAGCCCAGCCTTCCCACCACCACACCAGTTTGTCCCCTGCACGGCCACCATCAGGACCACTAGCTGTCCCTTCCTTGGCAAGCAACTTGGCTGCTACTATGGCCACCCCTTCCACTCCTCCTTGGCCACCTCTTTGATCCTCCTTGGCCACCAGCAGCCACCAACCTTGGCCACCACCTTGCTCCTTCCTTGGCCACCACCGTGGCCACCACCTCGGCTCCTCCTTGGCCACCACCGCAGCCACCACCGTGGCCACCACCTTGCTGCTTCCTTGGCCACCACCGTGGCCACCACCACGGCCACCATCCCGGGTCCTCCTTGGCCACCACCTTGCTCCCTCCTTGGCCACCACCTTGCTCCTTCCTTTGCCACCACCGGCCACCACGGTGGCCACCAGCCCAGCCGCTCCGCGGCCACCGCCCCCGCGCGGGGCTGCCACGTCAGCCGCCCGTGCCGGTGCCCGCCGCTCACCTCGCTCCTTCTTGCCGCGGGCGCCGGGGGTCTCGCCGGGGGCGGCGGCGCTGCCCGGCGGGGGGCTGCCCTTGCGCCGCC